TCCCCAAGGAGAACCCAAGGGAGCTTCAACGCCGCCAAAAACGCCCCGAGTTTAGCAAAACGTTGTATGTTGGAACTAGCCATGCCTACAGAAGTATAAGCGTAAAAAGAGACTAGCACATACGAGTAACCAGTCATATATATATATATGTACAGCAGCGAAACCATCAACCGTGAGCTGCCCGTCAAACTGAAACTCCTGGACCCGATCTAACTGATGGCTCAAAGAATGTGCTTGCCTGTGTCCAGGCATCAAAATCCACTCACCACCCTCAGTGTCGCGTTCCTGTCCAGCAATCGTGACCGCTCGACCAGTTTTGCGAGCTGGATTCGCGTGCATTCGAATCTTATCTCTCCGAGCTTTCTTCTGCCACGGGGGAAGGGCAGACCGTGAAACATGAGTCTCTGCTAACGCTACTACATCGAACGACTTATCCTGCAAACCAGCTGAGACAAAATCCCAAACCTTATCGCCCATGGACGTAACATTCCCGAACAATACGGTGGAGAACTCAGGCAGAGCAGGGCGCTCGCGCGGCTTGAAAGTCGCCGCGCCCAGGGACCTCGAGGTCCCTAGTCAAGATGCACCAGCAGAGCCCTCAGAAGGCGGCGCCGCCTGCGCCGCAACCCGCTGCGCCTCGAACTGCGCGGCGGAGATGCGCTCCGCCTCAGCGGCCACCTTGGCGGCGTAGTCCTCCTGCTGCTTCTGGGTCTGCTCCGTCGTCGGCGACGGCACTGGCGCTGCATCTGGTTGAGCATGACCCGACGGTGCACCACCAGGTACGTCATCATCAGCGTTGCGACGCTTCTTGGCCAACCTCTCGGAGATGGTGGCTCTCGTAGACCTTGCCCGCTCAACTAGCTTCGTGACCTCGTCGGCCTTCGAAGACAGCGTGGCCTTCTGCGCCTGCAACTCTTCCAGGCATTTCTTGAGTGCGTCCCGTTCATGCGGCTCGCACTCGAGCTCCTCTAAGTTAGCGAAAAGTTCCTGGTCCCACACAATGTCGAACGGCTTCTTGTCCGTTGGCTCGCCGCCTCCAGGGTCACCACGCGCAGTGTTGACGCCCTCGAGCTTGGCGACCGCAGAAGCAGCCTGAGCCCGCACTAATGTGGCTTCCGCAACTTCACGAGCCAGCCTGGATTCTTTCTCGCGTGCAGCCTCAAGATTCTTCTCCAATCTCATCACTGAAGTGACCGCTTGCTGATGGCGATTCTTGGCATCTCTCCAAGCCCCGTCTGCCTGCTGCATGGCCAGCACCACGTTGGTACCCGAAGCAGAGGCAGACATCTTGAGCTTCTTGAGCTGCATCTCCAGGGAAGAACGAAGATCAGGATCGGTGGCTGCCTTAAGCGCCGCCTGCAAATGACCATAAAGAATATCCTGTCCCTTCTGCTGCCCAACTGATCCTCGAGGGGAATGGCCAGGCGTGGAGGAACGAGACCCGCCATCAGGCTTCTCACCAACTGCAAAGGTAACCTGCTTGCGAAGAGCGCTCTTTGGAACCCCTCCTGCGGAACCTCCAGCTGGCACCTGTGGCTGCTTCTTGCCCTTGTAGAGCTTGACTTTCTTTCCGCAAGTACATAGCTGGCCACGACTAATCAATCGATCATTGTATTCTTGCGTCCCGCAAGATTGACATGTCGACCAGAGCCTCGGACCTGCGAAAGACATCTCGGCTTTCGTCAGCACAAGTGAAAGGGCTGGACTGTACCCTCTACTAAAGCTGTCCCTCAAGCGCCACGGGGAGGCACCGAGGCGGCCCAAATCACGCGGCCTCTCCACGGGGGGAGAGGACTTGGTGCTCGGGCCGAAGTGGCTTGAGAGTAGGAGGAGGAGGAGGAGGAGGAGGAGGAGGAGGAGGAGGAGGAGGAGGAGGAGGAGGAATAGGCCGGCAAGGAAGAGGATGAGGAAGGAGGAGCAGGGTCTTTTGTGGACCTTTTGGGGACATCTTGGGGGTGTTTGTGGGCCTCCCAGGCGCTTCGTGGGACCTTCTTGGTGCACTCTTGGGAGCCCTTGGAAGCATTCGATCAAAGAAGGGGGGTGCCAGTCACAGGGGAGGGGGTACAGGGATGGTCAAGACGCCCTCCTAGATAGCAAGCCGTCTGGCTCACTCCTACCCGCCCTCCCAACACATAGTAACATCCGAGCCACCTCAGCATGTTCAGCGGTCGTCTTTGGATGCAGCTACTTGGAACGAAAACCGAACCCATGTGCGGAGGAGTAGGAGGAGCAGGAGCAGGAGCAGGAGGAGGAGGAGGAGGAGAAGTCTGAGGAGGAGGAGGAGGAGGAGGAGGAGGAGGAGGAGGAGGAGGAGGAGGAGGAGGAGGAAGAGGAGGGGGTCCTGGGAGGAGAGTGCTCGGGGTCCTGTGGGGTCCTGCGGGGTCCTGCCGGGTCCTGGCCACCGCGAGTCCTGAGGGGACCTGCGGGGTCCTGAAGATTTTGGATGGTTTCGGGGTGTGGGGGGGTCCTGCGGGGGTCGTCCAGGTGTCGTCCAGGGGGGGTTCTGCGGCGTCTTGCGGGGTCCTAGCCTGCCGGGTCTTGCCGGGCCTGAGGGGTCCTGGGTGTTTTCTGCGGGGTCTTGCGGGGTCCTGCGGGATCTTGCAGGGGGGTCTTGCGGGGTCTTGCGTGGTCCTGCGGGGCCCGGTGTCTTGGGGGGTCCTGCGGGGCCTGCGGGGGTCCACAGGGAGTCTTGGGGGTCCTGCGGGGTCCTGCGGTGTCCTGGGGGTCCTCGGGGGTCCACGGGGAGTCCTGAGGGTTTTGGGGGTCCTGCGGGGTCCTGAGGGACATTGCCGGGCCCCGGGGGATCCGGGGGGTCTTGGGGGGTCCTGAGGCGGCAGGTTCGGTTCCAACAGGTTCGGTTTGGCCGTTTGGGCTGGTTTCGGCTTGCCAGTTCGAATCGGATTGACTGGTCCGGTTCAGACCGGTTCGGTTGTGGCTCCGGTTCGGCGGGCTCAGTTTCGGAAGTCGGCGGATCATGGCTACCAGTTCGGTCCAGCGCCACCATGTAAAGCGTTGGTGGGATTTTCGGTTTCTGGGAGCCCTCACCGTGCCCCCTCACTGTCAAGAAGCGGCTCGGGATGAAGAGCCGGTCCAAGGGAATGGGGTCCCGACCTCTCGTGGTACACATCGTGAAAAGACATGACGTTGGGGTCTTGGTCCCGCGCGCTGTAGGTTAGTTTCGTGTCGGCACGGCTGCGACCCGAGCGCGGGCGTTCAAGGATAAACGCTGCTTGTGGCTCAGAATCGGCCATCCATCATGGAACGATCTGGCGATCGAAGAGCCGCCGATCGTCGCATGCTGTCGTCGCGCGTTGAACGAACCAACGCTTGTCGCACGCGCGCGCAAGGGCATCTCGATGCGGTTGGCCCGATTCGTGGTTCGAGATCGGTCGGTCTGGTTCGGCTCCATTTCTTACCACCCCCGCGAAACGACGCGACGGCAGGTCTGGACAACCTCTCCGGCCTCCGCGGGCCCGCGCCATGCCCCAGGGCCGTCGAGAGAAGGGCTCGGAAGGAGAAGCCAGGACGAGACACCGGTCCCGGGGAAGTGTCGGGGAAACGTAAGACTCGAGTAAGCCGGAACTCGGGTTTGCCGGCGTTTTTTGACGAATGCGTTTTGGTTTTTGACGGTTCAGCTTTCGTGGAATGTTTGCAGCGGGAGGTCGCGTCGAATTTCAGATTGGGTCTCGTCGTTTTTGTGCTGACGCCGCCAGGCCAACCCGAGTCCCCCGTACCCGAGTCGTACGTCTCCCCGAGAGTGGTCCGGAGTTCCGAGTCGCCACGTCGTGGCAACGATCCCGACGCCGGGTGCGTGGGAGCCGCCCAGGCGCTGGGCGCTGTGCGGCGCGCTCACGGAGGCCTGCGCGTCGTGATGCCCAGGCCTCCCAGGCGTCGAGCACGTGAGAGCCAGCGTGCGTGGGACCCAGGCAGTGAAGGATTCCAATGTCGAGGTGGACGTTGTGCAGTGCAGGCTGTGCTGCGTGGTGGAAGCTCTGTGGTGTGAGCTACGTGGTGCGGGCTGCTGCAGGAGCGGCGGCGCTGCCGCGGCGCTTTCCCCCGTCGCCGCCCCCCGCCCCCCCCTGTCGCGTCGATGTGGCGCCGGTCGGTTCCTCTCCCTGTCATGGGTTCCTTCGCGATGGTGCAAAACGGTTGTTTCAAGCGTGGTGTGAGCTTGAGGTGTGAGCTACGTGGTGCGAGCTGGAGGCCGCAAGCTGTGCGGGGCAAGTTTTGTGGTGCAAGCGGTGCTGTGCAAGCTGTGCGTGGTGTAAGTGCAAGCTATGTGGTGCAAGCGGTGCTGTGTACGCTGTGCGTGGTGTAAGTGCAAGCTATGTGGTGTAAGCTATCTGGTGAGCGCTCTGCGGCGTAAGCTATATTTTGTCATGCTACCCACGAGGGCCTCTGGGTCATGCCTGCTTGAATGCCTTTGGCTTTGTCTTTCAACTCCAAATAGTTTAGGAGGTTCTACAGAAGTTAGATGCATCGTCCCATAAAGTATGTAATAGTTTAGCAGGTTGTTCCCCAATCAGAGCTTGCTCTGAAGGGGTAATGGAGGATCGTGCCAGTTGAGCGGCGCAGAAAAGGGGTCGGTTGCCCAGACATTCGCGCATAAGTTGCCCGCGCAAGCTCCCTTCTCCTTCTCATTTCCCTCCCTCGCTCGCCGCCGAGCATCGGCGACGCATCGGCGATGCGGCGCGATCCTCCGACCCCATCTACTCGGACCCCGTGGTGGAGGCCTCCTATCTTCGCCTTTTGTTGTTGTTCACCACCCACTCCATTCCCAGTGTGGGGGGGTGGAACATTGAAACCCACCCGAAATTCGGGTCTTCGTGTTGGGCTGGGGTGGTTAGAACATTGAAAAATCGTGTATGGAACCCGTACACCCCCCACCCGAAATGTGGGTCTTCGGGTTGGGTTGGGGTGGTCTGGTAGGTGGTCACGATCTTCGTCGCCCATTTCTTTGTTGTCTGTTCCGTGCCCATCTCGGGCGTGCCCGGCGCCAGGCGATGCGCAGGCTCGGGATCACGCCCGCGGACCCCCCGAGGGGGTTGCGGCAGTCGGCGCTTAGGCGGGGGCAGGAGGGACGAGAAAAGGTATGGTTGAGAAGAAGCTCCTCCTCCTCATCCTCCTCCGCTTCCTCAAGCCAGGCAGGAGGGACGAGAAAGGTAGGGGGGAGAAGAAGCTCTTTCCGGCGGCGAGCGAGGGGGGAAAGGAGAAGGAGAAGGCCTTTTCACAGTCAAAGAAGAACAACAACGCCATACACACAAACTTGGCGCTCCGCGCGGATCTCTTGGATCCGCACTGGGACCCCCGGCTGCGCCTCCAGCGCCGCCCCTGGCACGCTCCGCGCGCCAGGTAGGAAGGTCCGTGCCAGATCCAAGACGGAGAGTCGGGGGTGGACAGACCTCCTACCCTGACACGTCGATTAGCGAATTGGCCGTGTTCGGTTCGCGAGAGGGCGTCGCGGCCGTCAATTTTGCGGGTCCAGGTCCGTCGGTTTCGGTCCCAGGCCGTTTTCACTAAGGGCAGGTTTACTAAAGGGAGGTTTGTCCACCGCCGAGAGAGGGCCTCCTCACAAGCCAGCGGGGTTTCTCAGAAGACCTCTGGCCCCCCGAGGGTTTTCCGCGTCTCCGGGGGAGGCCCGGCGAGTTTTTCAGAAGGCCAGAGGACCTCCGAGCTTTCTGGGGAGGCCCGCCCCCTGACGGTCGTTGCTTGGACCAACTGGAACGGATTCCAACCGATTCGAACATTTCTGGAGGGAAAGGAACACACAGACACAATGAATCGTCGATTCCCAGGAAAGTAAAGGCAAATATGGGAAGTGGGGGGAAGACGAAAACCCAGAAAGTATACGAAAATATTGGGAACCTTGATGTTTGTGTGTATTTATGTGTGTGTGTGTGTGTCCCTGGGCCCCTCGAACAATTTCCAACCATTTCGGTACCAGTCCTGACCGTCTCGAGCGGTCTGGGAGAGATGCTGTGAGGATTTCGGGAAGTTCCGTACGGAATCCTTGGGAGAATTTCGTAGGATTTTTGAGGGACCTTTGCAGAATTGGTGCGAGATCCTTACACGATCCTCGGGAGATCCGTGCAGCATCATTCAGACATCCTGGCATAGTCCGAACCAGTGCGTAGATCAATGAAAGACTCTTTTGGAACACATGGAACTTCCACCTGAAAGTTGTACGCTTCTCGCCTGATACCGAACTACAGTTCTCGTGTGAAGCCTGTGCACTTTCCGTATAAACCTGTTTCCCCCGAGGGGAATTTGACACAGTTCGTCCGACATTGCATTTTTGTTTTCGTGTGGCGATCTAGTCCTCGCATGGCATTTGGCATTCCAGTCGTGCAAGCGACAATTTTCGTTTGTTAGAGCAGCAGGCCTCAAGTGATACACTTCTCATGATAACACCTAGACAGCTCCCGTGCAGAAGGTATATAAATGTCATCCGTTGGATCGACCATGCTGGAGCGATGCAGTTCTCACATGCCCATACAGCTCTCAGTCGAACTGTACACTTCCCACACGAGAAACATACGTTTCATCCATTGGCAAGTATACACATGCAACTTGAGCATGTTTCAATTCCCTTGAGGAACCTATCCAGATCTCGTGTGGCAACAGTGCATTTATCACATGCGAATTGAGTGTGAGCACCAAACAAGTCCAACTCGAGTGTTTACGAGTATCCAATATCCAGCGCTCGCAGACGAAGCCCAACCAGCCATCAAGCAAAAACGTACTACAATTTTCTGGGGCGCATTGTACATTCTCCATATGTGTACTACACAGCTATCATTGGTAGCCTCCTAATTCTCGCAGGACGCCTTCACAACATGCTTGACAACACAACCCGATACAGTTATACAACTGCAAGTTGGCATCCCTCATGTGGAAACTAGACAGCTCTCGTATGACAAAACAAGTAGACCACGTGCATATTGCATTGGTTACACGCCAGACTTTGGAGCCCCCCGAATACTTATGTACCAACTGGCAGTCCTGTGCGCAAGATGAACACATGAGTTATTTTGCGCAAGAGGGAATCACATGTTTCCAGGGATTTTCATAGTTGCGGATCAAGCTGTAAGACAACAAATAAACATTTCTAGCGGTAAGCGGTAAGCGCTCAGCCTCCGCTTATTGTATTTAGGATTACCGCTTACGGTAAGTGGTAAGCGTCGCCCCCCTTCAGGAGCCCTCCAGGAGGCTCCCGGAGGCCCCAAGAGGGCCCCATGAGGGCAGCAGGTTCGATTCCCAGTTGAATTCAACAACCCCTCTCCCTGAGCGGATCCCAGCAGCTCCGTCGCTCGTCCGAAGTAGGTCCAGCCCTGCACTGCCCTGCCCGTCGGGGGTCATGAGGGGGGGGACGGGCCGCGTCAGTGAATGGCCCAGGGTGGCGCATCATGAAGTTTCGCGGTCGTTTCTCACGTTCGGCGCTTGGCACTTGCCGGTTCACTTGGGAGAGGAGGCTCCCGCGTTTTGGTGTCTTGTTCCCCTCACCGTTAGCCTGCATGGACGGGGGATGTTTTTGAATCCTCATCTACGTACGGACTACCCGTCTCGCATCGATTGGAAGACCGTTCGACAACGGGCAGCATCATCATGTCATGTTTCCCATTTCCTTCCTTCGAGGGTTGATGCCAGAGATCTTGGGGACATGTTGGCCACGAGCGGACTCGACCGATCTTGTTGATGTCTTGTCAGATCCAGCCTTTGGGTCCAAGTGATTATTTACATTTGTGACATGCGGCATTTTCCTGGCGGGCTTGACGCCGAGTAGTCGTTTTTTGTTGCCAGCCCGTGGATGTTTGAGATGCGCACAGGCTCTCTTAGTTGCTCCTCAGATTTTCTCATTCCCGCCACCTCCCCTCCTTTTTCGTGGGGCATCATGTAGGTACACTCACGAGGCGCAACATATGGCAATCGAGTGTTTCTGCATAGAGGCATGGCGGCGTGGTTCCAATTCGAAGTGAGTATCGAGCTTTGGTCATCCAGTGCCTTGTCTCTTTATCATCCTGTTATGTGTCCTCTTGCGTTATCTTCCGTTGCCATGTTGGCATTGAGTCATTGGCATGATTGTACACATGTTTACAACACACGTTCACTCTTGTCTCGCATCACTTACACAGCCACCCAGTGTCACATGGCTTATTCGATGCTGATTCTTTCCATAGTGTTCATCCCCATAGTAGCCGATGGAATTCGATTGAGTCGTGATTGGCCTGGTCATGATCACATCGATGCCACGCAGCGAAATACAGTGGAGGATATGCCAGGTCTTGGTGATTTAACAGATTATTCAGATGATGCCGACGATTTTAAGGATGACAGTGTGGTCTCAACAATGTTGAGCGTTTTCGAAGAGGATGCTGGAACACATGTAAGAGGTTTACGCCATTACGCCGACCTCCATAAGAGGACATGTGCGGCATCCGATGTCGTATGCGTTGCTTGCCGCCTCCCATCTTGCTGCCTGCGTGTAGTTGGTGTCTCGTGTGTGCCCCTTTTCCTATGCGTCTGTTGTGGGGCTTCTCGGGAGTCTCTTGGGGGCATCTTGGTGGCATGTTCGGCTTCTTGGGGGGCCATCTTGTGGGAAACTGTTCCAGGGGCCCTTGCGGGGAGCTTATTCGGCAGTCTGGGGGCTCTCTTATGTAATCTCTTGGAACTCTTGGGAACATCTTCGGTCGTCTGGGGGCCATATGGGGGTCTTCCTGGGCCATCTCGGGGTTCAGAAGCTTTTGAAATGTCGAGAATGCGACAATCGGTAACATCTTTATGTTATGCAAAGATGGTTGCCATCTTCAGGCCTGTTGGGCCGTCCTGAGGCCATCGGGGATCTTCTGGAGGCCTCTTCGGCGCGTTCGGGCCCTTCTTGACACATCTGAAAGGGGCATTTGGAACTTGGGCATGTTGGAAACCGCGGCGGGTGGATTTGGAGCCCACCTAGTAGGATTTGGGGCGTCCGGTGAGGGGGAAAGGGGGAGGAGGAAAGCCAAATATCTCACACGCCTTCCCTTCCCCAGCAACCGGATGTCGGCGGATCTCAGAAAGAGGGCCCCCGTCTTGCAAACAGTTGCAGTCGTTGCTGTTGGACACGTACGTACATTTGTATTGCCAGGAGTCCATTCCAGCATAAAAACTAATTTGTTAGGGACATTCCCAGGAACTGCTCATTTCTATTTTGTTGGACATCTGGGCAGGTACGTTGACTGGTTTACACATGGAGCTAGAGACGTAGACGTTGCAAGTTACTTGAATAGGCGGTTCAACGGATCGGAGGAGAATGCTATTGCATCTGCATTGGACACAATGGCTGAGTACTCAACGCACGTCGAGATTCATGCTGGCTGTGCTTGCGACGATTTGCTCCGTGCTCGTGAGAAATACGGAATTACAGGCCCTCCGTGTGATACGGCCAGAAAGAATTTAATGCAAGTTCTGTGGATGGACTATGCCTTCAAGCAAACCGAAAAGCGTGGTCCGTATGATCTGATTTTTCGAATCCGGCCAGACGTTGCAGTGTTCAAGCAGTTTCCTTGGCACTCAATTTCAGCAGACACTATCAATTATGTAAAGAAGTTCATTTGGCAAGACGGCGTGGCTGATTGGCATTTTGCGTTCCCTTTCCTATACCTCAACAAGACCTGGCCGGCCGTCGTTCAGAAGTTCATTATCAAATCCACGAGCGGGCCATATTCGGGCCCAGGATGGAGCCCCGACATGGTTTGGCATTTTCCTCAGCCTTTCGCTCCGGTTGGTAATGTTGTCAATTTTACGTCTGTCGTTGTCCGGTCACCCATCTCGGCCAATTGCGATCACATCGACGACGAGACCCTCCGCAACGACTGCAAGCTGAAGTGCCGAACATGCAAGGATAACTGGCCTTTAGCACTAGAGTGCCAGGCTTGCAAGGGCATATGTTATCTGATGGCCTTCTGCCTATCCCGCCACTCGAAGAATATACAACATGGGGAAGAGGTGGATTTGTTCCAGTCAAGCGATTGTAGATCTCGCCCCCTCGATGATCTCGATATGCGCGCGATAAGCCCGCTTGGTCGCATTTGATTAACCTGTTCTTTAAAAGTTTATCGTTCCCGCGAGCTTTCGCAAGAGCGCGTGCGCAGACCTTTGATAAACAATATCGTTACAAAACCATGTGTGTTCAAATGTGCTCCGGAATCTGGATCTTAGACTTCGAACGAAGCATAAGGTTTTCGAAGGGTTTGGACATGTGCGCGCGACGCCGTGCGCGGGTGGATGCTGTCCAATTTGTAGCAAGGGATTTTTGAAAGTGGATGATTTGTGATAGGCGAGTGCGCGCGCATCGTATTCTTTGTCAGGGAGGGGGGAGGCCATGCCAGCCTCGCTGGGACGGTTCACGTCGCGCTGCCGAACTCGAACTCGTCAACTCAACTGCTCGTGTAATCATCCCACCCGCAGCATGGTCTGCAAAAGCAATGCGGCCGTGATTGCGATGACTGCTGGGCGTCGGCTAGTACATCGCCGCGGCCGCGCTTGCGCGCGCAAGCTCGCGCGCAGAGCGGCCAGGTAGGGAGGAGGGGGCAGGGAGGGAAGAGGGAGGATGGATTAGGAGGAGGAGGAGGAGGAGGAGGAGGAAGGGGGGAGGGAAGGAGGGAAGGAAAGTCTGGCGTGACCGACGCGGCCGCGGTGGCGCTGACCGGTGGGCACTTCCCAGCGCGTCTCGCGGGCCGCGCTGAGAGTGTGAGCCCGTCGCCCGGGCGGGCGCGGCATCGTGGCGACGTCGAGAATGACAGACACGATGGTGATAGTAGCGGTGTTGGTGTTGATGATGATGATGATGATGACGACAATGACGACGGCAAGGCCAATGACGGCGCCGATGCACGCCGATGGCGATGATGGTGTCCACGCTTGGGTGATCAAGGATTTAGAAGCATTTCGACATGCGCGCGCGGTCGACGTGCGCGAGTGGCCGACATGGTATCATTCGACATGGCTCGTACCCTTCCCTCCCAGGCACGCGTGCAAAAGGCATTCGAATGAGATCGGCACGTGCGCGCGAGATGCCCGCTTGGTCGAATTTGAGGAACGTGTTGAGAATTGACTCCCGGCTTCCTTTAACTGAGGACCCTAGATCGTCACAGGGGGGATCATAAAGTTCGGGGCCGCGGTGAGATAATACACGAAAATCGCGCGCGGGATTCATGACGAAAAGCGATGAGGTCGTCGTCGTCGTCGTCGCACGACGACGACGACGACGACGACTAGCCTTGCCACACATATCACAACCAGGGCAGGGGATAAGGAGAGAGAACGAGAGGGGAGGAAGGGGGGTGGGACAGGATGGAGGCCCCAGGAGACGTTTCCCCAACAAAAAGCGGGGTCGCGACATAGCGTTTTCTATGTGTAAAGACCATGCGTTTGTCGTTTTCTACAACAAATGTGCGTTTCGATTGATTCCCCCAAAAAAGATTATCCCAGTGCGACCCTACCTAGGAGTTGGAGCATCTAGGAAAGCAACATATACATCTACACCGACAGCTACATTAACATCTACACCTGCATCTACATACACATCAACATCAGCAGCGAGTCGCGCTATGATATGCGATGCTATGCTATACTGCGCTATGCTATGCCAGGCGATGCTATGATATGATATGATGCGCTATGCTATGCTATGCTATATTATGCTGCGCTATGCGATGCTATGTTATGCTATGCTGCGATATGCGATGCTATGATATGATATGTTATGCTGCGCTATGCCATGCTATGCTATGATGCGCTGTGTCATGCTAAGCTAAGCCATGAGCTGGTATGATATGATATGCTATGTTGTGATATAATATGATATGATATGTTATGCTATGCTGCGCTGTGTTGTGCTGCGCTATGCTGTACTGTGATATGATATGAGTTAATATGTTATGCTAATGCTGCGCTAAGCTGAGCTTAGCTTCGCTAAGCTAGGCTAGGCTAGGCTAAGCTAAGCTTTGGTAGACTAAGCTAAGCTAAGCTGGGCTGGGCTAGGCTAAGCTAAGCTAAGCTAAGTTAAGTCAAGCTAGGCTGAGCTAAGATGAGATAAGCAAGGCTGAGCTAATGGGACGTAGCTGGGGGAACCGCGGGGCGGATGCCGGGGGAACCGCCTGGGGCGATTTACACTGCCCGGCCCCTTTAAGCTAGAGGGTAAGAACCCTTCTAGGCAGAGCCTAGGTAGGGAACAAACGCATAAACACAAACAGTATCCTGGCGAAGGGCCCAACCACATGCAAGTGTGAGAACCGCAGGGGTGCGCCAAAATGGCGCGGGGCCGCCATGCGAACCCTACCACTGGGGCCTTCGGTGGAGCTCCCTGTGAGGCCACGAGCCGTGTGAGGGGTGCGCCAAAATGAGGCGGGGCCGCCATGCGAACCTTGCCGCAGGGGCCTGCGGTGGAGCTCCTTATGGGGCCACGAACCGTGTGCGGGGTGCGCCAAAATGGGGCGGGGCCGCCACGTTAACCTTGCCACTGGGGCGTGTGAGGGGTGCGCCTCAATGGGGCTGGGCCGCCATGCGAACTCTGCCACTGGGGCCTTCGGTGGAGCTCCCTGTGGGGCCACGAACCGTGTGAGGGGCGCGCCAAAATGGGGCGGGGCCGCCATGCGAACCTTGCCAGTGGGGCCTTCGGTGGAGTTCTCTATGGGGCCACGAACTGTGTGCGGGGTGCGCCAAAATGGCGCGGGGCCGCCATGCGAACCTTGCCGCAGGGGCCTTCGGTGGAGCTCCCTATGGGGCCACGAACCGTGTGAGTGGTGCGCCAAAATGGGGCGGGGCCGCCATGCGAACCCTGCCACTGGGGCCTTCGGTGGAGCTCCCTGTGGGGCCACGAACCGTGCGAGGGGTGCGCCAAAATGGCGCGGGGCCGACATGACAACCCTGCCACTGGGGCCTTCGGTGGAGTTCCCTATGGGGCCACGAAGCGCTGCACTGGGTGGATGAAACGCAAGGGAGGAAGGAGGAGGGGGAGTCGAGGCAGCGGGAGGAGAAGGAAGGAAGGACGGAGGACGCGGGCGTTGTCTCTTCAAAACGAGGACCCAACACCACAGGATGGTTGGGAACAAGGGGCCCTTTGGAGGGGGCTGTGCATTCGTAAAGGGCGCTTTTCCTGGCAGCCATCATCCCGGCCACGGACTCCCTGGCTTCCTTCCTGGCTTCCTTCTACGCGTCCTGGTGCAGGCGTGGTGTGGCGCTGCGTGCTTTGCAGCCCCGCCACTTGGGAAATGATCGCACCCACACCGCCGAGATCAGCTGGCAACCCTGTGACGCCCAGGAGCCCGCACATCGGGTACATACTCAGCAGGCACGTGCTTGCCTGCATGGCAACCCTGTGGCGCTCAGGAGCCCGCCTTCCGGAGCATCTGTATAGCGGTGGCGCCTGCTTGCGCTCCTGTTCCTCCGGTACCCGCACGGGTGCCAGATCGGCACAACAGACGCCGACCTTCCCCCTCCAAAACACTTCTCCTTCCCCGCCCACTCCCCCCCATGCAGGAGGAAGCGAGGAGGCTGATGCTTACACGCCGCCTCGCCGAGAGCTTCATGTCCGGCCTCGTTCGGCGCACGGCTCCGCTCATGCAGCTGGGACATCGGTGGCCGTGGAAGAGTAACAGAACCTCGCGGGAATAGGACAGACGCCGGCGCGCTCTCACAATACGTCGCCGTCCACAGAACGGTGGCTCTTTGGGCTCTCGACCCCGTCTTCCAGGAGCTCTCGACCCCGTCTTCCAGGAGCAGAGGAGCCCGCCACCCTCCCCCGTCCCCTTCCCAATCCTTCCTCTCGCCTTTTCGCTCAAGCGCTACCTGACGCCAGTAGCAGCCGTGCGAGCTGTTCTTTTGGGCAACCCTGTGACGCCCGGGAGCCCTCGCCTGGGAGCAGACGGCAGCGCGTCCCAGCGCTGTTCAGTGTGGCAACCTTGTGACGCCCAGGAGCCCTCTCGCAGGAGCCGTTGGCAGCGCGTTCCAGCGTTGTTCGGCGCGGCAACCCTGTGACGCCCAGGAGCCCTCGTGGGAGCCGACGGCGCGTTCCAGCGCTGTTCGGTGTGGCAACCTTGTGACGCCCAGGAGCCCTCTCGTGGGAGCCGACGGCAGCGCGTTCCAGCGCTGTTCGGTGTGGCAACCTTGTGACGCCCAGGAGCCCTCTCGTGGGAGCTGACGGCAGCGCGTTCCAGCGCTGTTCGGTGTGGCAACCTTGTGACGCCCAGGAGCCCTCTCGTGGGAGCCGAAATTGCGCTCACACACGGGCGCGTGCCTCGCTCGGCGCGTTCCAGCGCTTTCCTTTTTACAGCAACCTTGTGACGCCAATGTGCCCCTCTTATGGGCGCAGCCATTCCTCTCAAACGCGTGCTAGCGCTGAGGTAGGCGCTTGCCTTCGCTAGCTTTCCGGCAACCCTGTGACGCCCAGGAGCCCCCTCCGGGGAGCCATCGCTTTCGCTCACTAGCACGCTTGCGGTGGGATTGGCGCGTGCTTGCGCTAGCGTTTCCGGCAACCCTGTGACGCCCAGGAGCCCAACTCATGGGAGCTACCGTTGCGCTCGCACGCATGCGTGCGCTTTGTTCGGGCGCGCGCCAGCACTCCAACATTTTTTTCTTCGGCATCCTTGCGACGCTCAGGAGCCCGTTCTTGGGAGCAGTCATTCCCCTCACGCGCGTACCCGCGCTGAGGTGGGCGCGGGCAATTCCCCGGCATTCCTGCGGTGGGTTCGGCGCGTGCTTGCGCCCGCCTGTCCGGCAACCTTGTGGCGCCCAAAAGCCCACTCACGGGAGACGCCGTTGACGTTCACTCGCTTACTCGCGGGGGGCGGCGCTTGCCCGCGTTGGCTTTACTGGCAACCCTGTGGCGCCCAGGAGCCCACTCACAGGAGCAATCGTTGCGCTCACCTGCATGCGCGTGCTGAATACAGGCGCGTTCCAGCAGCCTTTCGTTTTCCAGCAACCCTGTGACGCTCAGGAGCCCTTTCGTGGGACCCCCCCCTCCTCTTACGCGCGCGCTCGCGCTGAGAACCGTCCGTGCACTCACCATCGCGCGGGCGGTGGGCTCGGCGCGTGATTGCGGTAGCTCGTCCGCAGCTTTGGGTGTTCAGGGGGCCGCTGAGCCCAGCATTCCGCTCACCCGCATGCTTGCGGTGGGGTCGCCGCGTGCTTGCGGTAGCTTCGCGGGCAACCGTGTGTCGCCCATGAGCCCGCCCGAAGGCGCAGAGTGTCTCAGGCCATCGTGGGCCAAACGATTGATCTGGCGCGCACCGTTTTTCCCCCCCCGTCCGTTGCGGTTTCGGCCCGAGCTCTTCTGGAGACCAGCATGGCGGCCTCCGATACGGAAGCCCGCCTTCGCGACCTTCTGGACAGGGTAAAGAGGGGCAATGCTGGCATGCAGTGGTATAGTGGCGTCCCTGGGCTCACTTTGGATCTGGATTTTCTGGCCGCCGCAGGGGCCCATGACGAGTTCATCCGGCTCTGGGAGCAAGGCGTGCCCTTGGGAGCTTCGCGTGCAGAAGCGCGATACAAGCCCAACCACCCGTCAGTGCGAACCCACAGCTCGTGGGCCGAACGCGAGTGGAGCAGGCTCGAGGAATTGGGCAAGGTGTCTTTTTTCCTTCCAGGGGCGCCACGGCCGCCGTCCCTCAACGTTAACCCTTGCGGGTTGCTGTTGAAAGAGCGCGCAGGTTCAACCCCAGAGGCTCCAGAACAGGATCGATGGAAGGCTCGGCTGATATTGGATTTGCGAGTGGGCCGGGTCAACGAACGTGTACCGCATGTTGGGGTTTCGTACGGAACAGTCGACATGGCTATCAGCCGCATGCACCGAGGCGATTTCCTGTACGTCGTAGATCTCCAAGACTGCTTCTTTAATTGGCGGGTGTGCGACGCTGATTCTTACCTCTTCGGGTTCTACTCGCACGAGAGGCGGCAGTTCGGACGATACCGGTTTCTGCCTTTCGGCCTGTCGCCGGCCCTGGGGCTCAATGACCGATCAATCAAAGAACTCTTGCGCGTCTTGGCACAGAGGAGCGGCGTGCAGTTGCTCGATTTTGTGGGCGATCTACTCGGGGTGGAGCGGCGTTGCTCTTCGGCCTGGACAACGCTTGATCGAACGGTGGATTTTTTCCTCACGGCGGGCGTCCCTGTGAGCGCGAAGCCCACTGGCATCAGGCCCCCAGACACCCGGCAAAGCTGGATAGGGTGGATATTCGATACCGTTCTCGGGGTTGTCACAGTGGCCCAAGAAAAGTGCGATCGTTGCAGACAGCAACTCATCGCTGTTCTGGAGGCGGACTCCCGCAGAGTTCTCCTCGCCAGAGACTTGGCCTCCGCTGTAGGCCTGGCATCTCATATTGCAGAGCTCTATCCGCAGGCGCGCCGCCGGCTTCATCCCATCTGGACGGATCTAAAGTCGGCGGGCGTGTACGCACTATGGAGCCGGTCACCTCAGGCTAATCCACTCGTCCGCCTCTCTGAGTTGAGCCGGAAAAACATCGAGTGGGCGGTAGAAGCGTTCAGATCGCCACCAGTTCGGGCGTTGCATGACCAAGGGGGCTCGCTGTCAACTTGGGGCCACAAGTCGCCAGAGTACGAACAGTGGGAGTCACTCGCCAGAGCGGGCCAGATCCGCGTCGTGGAGACAGACGCCGCCACGTCCGAAGGTTGGTCCTACCACCTCTGCCACTCCACGCGGGTTGTCTCAGGCACATGGCCCGACAACTTTTCTGATTTGGAAGTTTTATCGGAGCCCGCCGACATCAATTACAGGGTGTTGTGGGTCGCGTGCCAGTGTCTGGAGGACAACTTTGACGAATTCCGTGGCTGGCGCATATTGTTCAGGGTGGACAACAAGGCGGCTGAACATTACATCAATGTCCGCTACGGCGCCATCCCACGGCTCGAACGGCTCGCAGAACGACTTGAACGGGCAGAGCGGGCAGCTTCCTGTTGGGCCCTGGCGCTCCACTTGAGCGGCGCGGCCAATCGGACAGCAGACCTCGGCTCTAGGGATCCTCTGTTCGCCTCGCGTTGGAATTCTGATCCCTTTCTTGAGGCAGCGATTCGCACGCCAGTTCTGGCAGATATCGTTGCACGGTGCGCTTGCTCGTTCACACTGGACCTGTTCGCAGACTGGGGCGACCGGAATGCCATTGCACCTTCTTGGCGTTCACCCGAAAGGACAGCATTTGAAGCAGACCTGCCCGGCCACCCGCGGGGGGCTGTTCGGGGAAAGGGGCCCTTTGGAGGGGGCTGTGCATTCGTAAAGGGCGCTTTTCCTGGCAGCCATCATCCCGGCCACGGACTCCCTGGATTCCTTCTACGCGTCTTGGTGCAGGCGTGGTGTGGCGCCGCGTGCTTTGCAGACCCGCCCTCCCTGACCCTTTCTTGCGCTGTCGCAATCCACCCTCCTTCGGGGGGGGCGCCGTGCTGCCCACTGGCAGCATCGCTGCCCACTGGCAGCGGATTGCAGCCCACAGGCTGCATTCGGCACTGGCCTGCGGCGCAAACGCGTTCCCTTAGAGGCACTGCGCTGCCACTGAGTCCGAAAACAAAAGGCGCCTCTCCCCTCCTGGCAGCACGCCCGCCGCTGGCCCGGACGGGTGGCTGGACGGGGACCCCCCTGTCGACGCTTCGCGTGGTCCGCCGCCTCTACCCTCGGCGTCCGCCCTGTCGTCTCTATTGTTGCCGGGTTCGGCTCGGAATGCCGTGCGAGGCTGGGGCCCACCGTTGGCCGGTCGCCTGGAGCTTCCTGGTTGCGATGCCCATTCGGGCCGGTGTGCGGCGTTGCGCAGGATACGACTGCAGGCTTCGCCTGCCCGCATCCCGCGGGGGGCCGCTCGGGGAAAAAAACGCTAACAACGACGCTCCAACAATTTGCGCTAGTGACGACTTTCCACCCCGTGACACTGAGCGCGGTACGAACCATCCCACTGCATGGGGCCTTCGGAGGAATTCTTTCTGGGGCCACGGACCGTGTGAGGGGTGTAACGAAGTCGAAGCGGCGGTGCCATGCGAACCTTGCCACTGGGGCCTTCAGTGGAACTCCCTATGGGGCCACGAACCGTGCGGGGGGGGGGCGCGAGAATGGGGCAGTGGTGCCATGCGAACCTTGTCATTGGGGCCTTCGGTGGAGCTCCCCCTATGGGGCCACGAACTGTGTGAGGGGTGCGCCAGAATGGGGCGGTGGGCCATGCGAACCCGGCCACTGGGCCCTTCGGTGGTTCTCGCCATGAACCGTGTGAGGGGTGCGC